CATAATATTCTAGTTGTTTGTATTTCTGCGGTGTTGGTTGTTATTTCTCCTTTCTCATTTGTGATTTTATTTATTTGGGTCCTTTCTCTTTTCTTTTTGGTAAGTCTGGCTAGAGGTTTATCAATTTTGTTAATCTTTTCAAAGACCCAGCTCCTGCTTTCATTGATCTGTTTTATTGGCTGTTTTTTAGGTTCTGTTTCATTTATTTCTGCTTTAGCCTTTATTATTTCCTTCCTTCTTCCTGGCTTTAGGCTTTGTTTGTTGTTGTTTCTCTAGCTCCTTTAATTTTAATGTTAGGTAGTTAATTGAGATTTTTCTTGCCTCTTGCGTTAAGCCTGTATTCCTATGACTACTTCCTTCTTAGGACCACTTTTGCTGTATCCCAAAGGTTTTGGACCATCATGTTTTCATTTTCATTTCATTTCATTTCATTGCATTTGTTTCCATGTATTTTTTAAATTTATTCTTTGATTTCCTGGTTGACCCATTCACTGTTCAATAGCATGTTGTTTAACCTCCATGTGGTCTTTCCAAATTTTTTCTTGTGGTTGACTTCAAGTTTCATAGCTTTGTGGTCAGAAAAGATGCATGGCATGATCTCAGTCTTTTTGTACTTGTTGAGGCCTTATTTGTGACCTAGTATGTGATCTGTTTTGGAGAATGTCCCATGTGCACCTGAAAAGAATGCGTATTATGCTGTTTTAGGATGGAATGTTCTGAATATATCTGTTAAATCCATCTGGTCCAAGGTGTCATTCAAAGCCATTGTTTTCTTGTTGATTTTCTTGTTGATTTTCTGCTTAGATGAGGTGTACATTGATGTAAGTGGGGGTGTTCAAGTCTCCTATTATAGTATTACTCTCAGTGAGTTCCTTTATGTTTGTTATTAATTGTTTTATATATTTCAGTGCTCTCATGTTGTGGGCATAAATATTTACAATTGTTAGATCTTCTTGTTGGTTTGCCCCCTTTATCATGATATAGGTTCCTTCTCTATCTCTTGTTACAGTCTTTGTTTTTTTTTTTTTTTTTTAAGATTTTATTTATTTATTTAACAGAGAGAGAGATAGCGAGAGCAGGAACACAAGCAGGGGGAGTGGCAGGGGGAGAAGCAGGCTTCCCGCGGAGCAGGGGGCCCGATGCGGGACTCGATCCCAGGACCCTGGGATCATGACCCGAGCCGAAGGCAGACGCTTAATGACTGAGCCACCCAGGCGCCCCTCAGTCTTTGTTTAAACTCTAGTTTGTCCAATATAAGTATTGCTAATCTGGCTTTCTTTTGACATCCTTTTGCAAGATAAAAGTTTCTCCATCCCCTCCTTTTCAATCTGCAGGTGTCTTTCAGTCTAAAATGAGTCTCTTGTAGGCAGCATATAGATGGGTTTATTATTTTATCCATTCTGACACCTTATATCTTTTGATTGGAGCATTTAGTCCGTTTACATTCAGAGTAATTAGTGATAGATATGTATTTAGTGCCATTTCATTATTTGTTTGTTGTTTCTGGAGATATTCTCTGTTCCTTTCTTGTCCCTGTCAGTTTTGGTCTTTCCACTCAAAGAGTCACCTTTAATATTTCTTGTAGGGATGTTTTAGTGGTCACAAACTCCTTTATTTTTCACTTGTCTGGGAAACTCTTTATCTCCCCTTCTATTCTGAATGACAACTTGCCAGATAGAGTATTCTTGGCTGCAGATTGTTCCCATTCAGCACTTTGAGTACATCATGCCACTCCCTTCTGTCTTGCCGTGTTTCTGTTGAGAAATCTGCAGCTGGCCTTATGAGTCTTCCCCATAAGTTAGGGATTTCTTTTGTCTTTCTGCTTTAAGATTTTTTCTATATCATTATATTTTGAAAATTTAATTACAGTATGTTTTGGTGTTGGCCTGATGTTGTTGATTTTGTTGTGAGTTTTCTGTATATCCCAGATCTGAATAACTGTTTCCTTCTCCAGATAGGGAAGTTTTTAGCTATGATTTGCTTAAGTAAATTTTCTGCCCCCCCTTTCTCTTCTTCTGGGACTGCTAAAATATGAATGTTACTACATTTGATGGAGTCACTGAGTTCCCTAAATTTATTCTCGTGTTCCATAATTTCTCTTTCTCTCTTTTGTTAAGCTTCATTATTTTCCATTATTTTGTCCTTTACATCACTTACTCATTTTTCTGCTTCTTCCAGCCTTATGTTCATTCCATCAAGTCTGTTTCCAATTTCAGTTATTGCAGTTTTCATTTCTGACTGATTCTTTTTTAACTCTTTTGTCTCTGTGGTAAGGGCCTCCCTGAAGTCTTCCATTCTTTTCTCAAGCCCAGCAAGTATCCTTATGATTGTTGCTTTAAATTCTCCATCAGGCATGTTACTTATATATTTTTCACTTGGATCTCTAGCTGTGACCTAATCTTGTTGTTTCATTTGGGATAAATCCCCCTGTCTTCGCATTTTTTTCTAAGTCTCTGTCTTCTTCTCTGTGTTAGAAAAGCCAGTAATATTTTTTGTTCCTGAGTGTAATGGCTTTATGAAGAAGAGGCCATACAGTATCCATGGCCTAGAGCTTCAGGGAGTGTCTCTGGTGTGTGTTGCCTGTGCTCTGCTGTTGTGCTGTGGCTGCTCTGTCCTTCAGGTCAGTCGTCCTCAGAGGTTCTCCTTGCCTGCAGTGGGCAGTGTTTGGTTCTTGGCCAAAACGTGGCAACTTTTAACTATGTGTGCTCTGGTCTGCTTGTGAAATGAGAACTAATACTTCCACTAGAACTGAAGCACTGCAGAGCTTTCTATTCAGATGTGGTGTGAGCAGGGGTTTCTTTGGTCTTCTACAGAAGGGGCCCACCACACTGTGACTGATGCAAGCTCGACTGAGAAGGGCAGTACCACCAGAGAGCAGTGGTGTGGGACCTGGTATAAGCAGACTAGGCAGCTTGTGTTGGTGCCGTAGTGCTTCCTGCAGGTGGCTCTTTGTTTATGCTGAGGGGCTTGGGCGGGGGAGTGGTGCCAGCTAGCTTGTCCCTGGAGGGGTGCCTCCATGCACACTGCCTCTCAGGGAAGCACTCCAAGAAGAGCAAGTAACCTCCTCACCATATGTCCCAGGGGTTTTTCGGATTGCTGTTTCCACACTATTTGACTCCGCGTTGTATACTGCCTTCTCTTCAGGAGCAGCACAGTGCTCTCCGGGCTCTATCCCAGTGAAGCCTGCTCACTTTATTTTCTTTTTAAGAGCAACAGCCGTATCTTATTCATCTTTGCACCCTCTAAGGCACCCAGCACAGTGCCTGGAGAAAATGGAGCTAAGTGTTTTTTTTAATAAACTCTGTTTCCATATTTGGGTTTCTCTAGTTTCTTCAATTCAGATCATTTACATAAGTTTCTCCAAAGGGATCTATATGGGAAGTCATTGACTTCCTCATTTCCAGATAAATTTTATATGTAATAGCATTAATGAAAATTGTGAAAGAAAAAGGGATCTATGTACAATACCACTGTATTATGTCCAGTGTATGTATAACTACCTTGTGGCAAGGTGCTCATCAAGAAACATCGATTGGTGAGACAGTTCTTCCTTGTATGGACTATCCAGCATATTGACCTATCCTTTCAAATGCCAGCAGGTCCCTCCATCATTTTGGCAAATCAAAAAGGCCAGTATAGTTAATTTTTCCAAATATTAACCACAAATGCATCTTCCAAATGAAAAATAAAAGTTCATTAGGTGCTTATTTGTTTTTTAATTTTTTATTTAAATTCAATTTAATTAACATATTCTGTATTTTTAGTTTCAGAGGTAGAATTTAGTGATTCATCAGTTGCTTGTAACACCAAATGCTCATTACTTCAAGTCTGCTGACTTTTAAAACTCTAGGGTTTAGGAATGTGATGTGGGCAGGGGCCTGTGCTGGTCTGGGGAAGAGGCCCACCATGCTGGAATTGAGGTGAGCTTGACAGAGAAGAGCAGTTGTGCCAGAGCACAAGAGTGTGGGACTTGCCCTCCCCAACATCCCCCCCCCACCCACTAACAACCTTGCATAGTTGTACATATGCCAATTTCCATATCGTGTTCATCAGGCCATGAGTACTTTTTGTGTGTGGATTTTTTCCACTTAAATGCACATATTTTTTTTGACCCGGCCCAAATCCTTGTCAGTTCATGTATAATATGTGTTGGTTAAGTACTTGTACAAAATGGTTTGCTTAGTCTTTGTGGTTGGGCCCAAGTTTCTTCTATTAAGAAGAATGTTTTTGTGTCAATTGTTTTTCCTATTTTTTGGTGGTTAATTCCTTTGGCCTGTTCCCCAAAATGGATCCATTGGATCAACAAATATGAACTATCTCATATGTATGCTTTTGCATTTCATCAACATTTTTCCAGAATTCTTTATGGCTATGTAAATAGAGTAAGCCCAGTGTCCAGTGCTACCAGCAATGTGTAAGTGCATCAGTGTCTCTCCTGCCAAAACTCCCGCTAAATCCACTTCATAAAAAATTATATATATTTACTTTATATTGACTGACCTGGAAACCAGAGACATAGAAGCAGGGAGGCAAGTTAGGGGACTGCTGCAATAGTCAATGTCTAAGTAAAAAGAGCCTGAGTTTGGGTAATTATGAATTTAATAAATTCAAATTCATCATCAGATATTGCCTAAATACCTACTATGTGCCAGGCTCATACTAAACATGTTAGTACCTAATTGAAATTTTAATATCTTTGTAAGATAATGTATTATTGGTCTTCATTATATAGATGAGGTAACTTAAGACTTAGCAGATTGATATGACATACCCTAGGTCACACAAATAGAAGTTCTAAAGCTGGGTTTCAAACATAGTCTTTCTGAAGGATTAAGCTGCTGGAAGAATTAAAAAAAAAAAAATGGAAAAGAAATCCAGAGTTGTTATGACCAAAAATAAGTGGGCCCTAAGGGAGGTAGCCCAGATAACTCCAATATTGGGTGCCTGTTCATGAATAGTGTTCCATTGGGCTAACCATTCTACTACATTTTCTCTTTCAGGAGACTCTGACAGTTTCAGCAAAGTGCGGCCTCCGGGAGAAAAGCCTACCATCGTCCGTCCCCCAGTGAGGCCTCCAGACCCTCCGTGCCGGGCAGCTACTCCCCAAAAGCCAGAACCAAAGCCAGATATTGTGGTTAGCAATGCAGGGGAAATCCCATCATCTGTGTAAGTAGAGTTTTTCCTCAACCTTGGCCTAAGGCTCATCTTAGGCCACCAGGAGTTCTTTCCAGGATCACCATAATGGTTGTGAAGGGTATACAGTGCACAACCCCAGGGTATCATTCACTTCATAGTCTAGGGAAATGTCACAGACAAGCCCTGTTTGGAGTGTTCCACTCAGCACCCAAGGCTGAGAGATTTCACTAACACTGCCCTGATTTCTGTAGGGTGATAAGATTAACTTCTGTTTTCATGCTCCCTTGGCTCTGGAAATTTTTCATATTTTCTTATTATTGCTACTGTTTTTAAAAGAAATTTAATGAACAGATTTGTTCATTGTACTTGTGCCTTCCGGCTTTCTTTTTAAATCAATGGTATGATTTTTTTTTTAATCTCCTAAAATGACTCAGATTCTCCAGAGAGCCTCTTGCAGGGTAAGAACTGAGCTAATGGCCAGCACGTTTTCCTGAGGTAGGACTGGAAGCCAAGGAACCAGGTATAAAGTAGCGAAGGCAGGGCCACAGCAGCTCTCAAGGACCAGCCTTGTATGGTCATAACTAGCCTGACTGGTCTCTCTTTAGCCAGTGCTTGGGACCCCTCTCATATACTGCCTCCTAGTATTCCTTTTTCTTGTGTCTCTTGTTTTCCATAATTGTAAAATGGGCGAAATAAGAAAAACAAAGCCTCTATCATGTTGATTAAGTAGCTAAGTGTATTTATGAAAATGTCAAAAATTTATACATTGAAGCCAAGGACTTGTTTCACTTATTTCTCATAAGAATAGCCTGAACAAACAACATACTTAGACCACTCTGAACCAAGGGAAAGCAAAGGGCGTTAGACATAGCCTTGGGGGTGCTTATGGTCTCTGAGTCATTTCACATTCTGATATTTGGTTTCTCCTTAGACCCAGGTCCTTTGCAAGCTAGGGAAGACCTTCAGTTGGTGGCCTGTCTGGTTTATACTTTTTGTCTTGTCCATTGTCTGTTGGTTCTCATATGTATTCCAGAGCAACTCATGGGACTTGATTGGCTTCTGTTTGCAGGGTGGCTTCCAGGACCAGGTTCTTTGAAACAGCTTCCCGAAAAACAGGAAGGTAAGACACATAGATGACAGAAGAGACACCAAGTTACTTTTTAATAAATGGATCATGAACATCACAGTTGCTGTCTTACATTCTCTTCTTCTGTTTCTATGCAGTTCCATCTCTGTCTCTCTGTTTGTCCCTTTCTCTCCCCTAGTTCTGTCTCTCTGTTTCCTGTTCTCTCACCCTATACATCTGTTTTTGTCTCTGTCCTTGTTATTCTATTTGTCTCTCTCATACTCTTTCTTTCTCTGTGTCTTTGTCATTCTCAGTCTCTTTCTGTCTCTCTTTGTGTTTTTCTGCTTATATCTCTGTTTCTGTGTCTCTCTGTCTCCCTATTTGTTTGTTTTACTCTTTTTCTGTCTCTCTCTCCCCTGTCCCTTTCTTTTTTTTTTTAATCTCCTAAAATGACTCAGATTCTCCAGAGAGCCTCTTGCAGGGTAAGAACTGAGCTAATGGCCAGCACGTTTTCCTGAGGTAGGACTGGAAGCCAAGGAACCACATGCTAAGTAATATTGCAAAAAAACATGACATTCAATGTAGGTCTTATTTTTTTGTTAGTTTACTTATTTAGACTCTATTATATTCTAAAAGGGCAGCTGATAAGAATATATAGAATGCAACACTCACATAAACAGCCTTAGAATAAACATAGGTAAACATTAGGTGGTATGATATAAATCACCTGGAAACACCTGAGGGAACAAAAACATAAACAGATTTGCTTTCCACCCTAGACCCACTAAAACAAAATCTCCAGGAGTGGGGCCTGGGAATCTATTTTTTTGTTTTATTTCCTTCCTTCCTACCTTCATTCCAGTTTGTTTGTTTTTAAAACTTCTAAGGTATTGGTACAAATTGTCCAAAGCCTGGCATTTGGGACTCTTTAGACTAGAATACCTAAAGAAATGGTTGCTCAGCCTTTAGGGACTCTTTTGTGATTTTGCTCCATGTTGCTTTTTAGAGAGTTTGAAATTGTGTTTCCTGATGGGTGATAAGAGTATAACTCTTCTAGGTGGTCAGTTAAAAGAACAATGTGCCTTTACCAGCAGTGGAGCTAGGGTGAGTTTAACATCATCTAGTCAAAACTGTGAGACCTAACTCACCAGGACATGATACTGCACAGCAAGTCACCCTAGTTCTGCTTGGCAGTCAGCCATTAAACCAGGTCCAGTTCTCCTTAGACAATAATTTGCTATTTATTCTACCATAACAGATAAAAATCAGGTCAAGCTCCCAGATTTCTCTTACCAATACAGTAAAGTTTTTGCCTAGGATGTTTTTAAATCAGGCTTAGTCAAATGTCCCTCTTGAGAAAAAAAATGAAAGAGAGAGACAGAGAGACTCTTTAATACTCTTAATATAGTACCCACTTTTGAGCAGGACCACTTCCTATTTCCCGGTGATCCTTCCTCCCTCCCTAGAATAAGCCATATGAGAAATAAGTTCCAAGGAGATGGGATGAAGTAAACTAGAATTAACAGAGTGAACTGGGTATATCTATAAGAACACTCTTTTAGAGGAAGTGATATCTAATTTGGGGCTTAAAAATGAGTAGAAATACACCAAAAATTATGAGGAATTCATCTGTATCCTTGGACAGGGAACCAATGTATTGAGAGAGAATATGTAAGAGGCATCAACAAAGTCCAGTAGAATCTTTAAGGCAGGTCAACTTCTAATAGGAAAACTATAGCCAAACTGATGTTGAGAGTATGGAAAGATTGGTAACTGCTGTCTGAGCTTTGTCACCTACTGCTCAGGGAATTCTTGGACCAACTCACAAAATAAGGGGGGGGGGCTATAGCCAAACCAGGCACTTCAGACTAAAGCACCACTCTACTTATCCTATGTTTAGGCCTCTGGAACCTAGATTTAATCCTGTTCCTTATCCCCAGATTCCATCTTGCCAGGAGTGTGGGCAAGACTGAAGTGGATACACCTGTCTTCCAGTGTGTCATGAGCCATAAAGCCATACAGGTTCCTCCCATTTAGTATCCACATAGGAAAAAAACTACCACTTTTGTCTATACTCCCACCTTGTGACCACCACTTACATCAGTACATCTACATGCTGGCCACTGGTCAAGATCCTCAGACTAGCCACATCAGTACCATCTATAGACATTGTTGGCAAGCTCTTCTCTCTGATGAAAATAATGATCTGTTTAACTTTTGTTCTGCTCCTTTTTGCTTTCCATTTGTACCCGACTGTAGCCTGACATTTGAAACACTTTACTTCCTCATTCATCTCTCTTCCACAACCAATAAAAAATTTAAAACTTAAATGAAAATGGGAAGTGGCCCATCAAGAAGAGAAGGAAGGGGTTCAGCAAGGCAGAACAGCTTATGCAAGACAGGTTCAGTAAGTGATTAGTGTTGCACTTTGGCTACAATGTGGGGGTGAAAAGAGGGAAGCTTATCTGGAGGTGAGGCCAGAAAGATAGACTGGGTCCAGATTGTAAAACCTTATATGACATACTAAAGAATTTGATCTTTATACTTTAGTCCATGGGGAATCATGTTAACTTCTAAGCATGACAATGCATACTCTGAGATGACTGAGTTGTGAAACAAAACAAAACAAAACCTCATTCTGTTAGTAATGGGAAAGATAGATGGGAGAGTAAAGACTGGAGACAGAGACCAATTAGGAGGCTAATCATCATGGCAACAATTGATGAGGCCCTAACCTATGGCATTGCCAGTGAAATGGAATAGAAGGACAGATATGAGATAGGCACAAGGAGACCTGGCTGACCTTTCAAACATGGAATTGGATGGACAAGTAGGTGGCTCAGTTGGTTAAGTGTCTGCCTTCGGCTCAGGTCATGAACCCAGGGTCCTGGGATTGAGCCCCAGAGTGGACTCCCTGCTCAGTAGGGAGTCTGCATCTCCCTCTCCCTCTGCCCCTCCCCACCACTTCTGCTCTTGATCTCTCTCTCTCTCTCTCTCTCTCTCTCTCTAATAAATAAATAAAATCTTTTAAAAAAACAGGGAACAATGGAGAAGGATTAAGAGGGAAAAAAAGTCTAACTTGGAAAATTAAGTGGATGGTAACAATAATTAATCATAGAAGAACAGGTTTTGTGGGAAAGTTGCTCTAATTTTGGACACAGTGTTTTTGAAGACCCTGTGGAATATCCAGATAGAAATGCCCAGTGCAGGTTGAGAGGAAGATGGTGGTGGAGTAGGAGGACCCTAGACTTGCCTCATCCAACAAACACAACTAGATAACTAAAAATCATCCTAAATATCCCAGAAATAGACATGAAGACTGTCAGAAAAAACTCCTCAAATAAAGGGAGAGAAGAGGCCCCATTGAAGAAGGTAGGAAGTGTGAAGAGTGGGCTTAGGGGAGAAAGGAATCTCAAGTGCAGTGGAGGGGAGGGAGCTGAGGTTGCAGAGAAGGGCAAGAGGGAGACCAGCACACAGAGGAATGCCCAAGGAGAACATTTCCCTAAAGCCATTGGCTTGGAAAATGAGAGTGGTTGAATTTTCTGAATTCTTGCACCAAGTGGGGCTTAAAGCCTGCAGTTTTTTTTTTTTAATTATTATTCATTCGAGACACAGAGATACACAGAGAGAGAGAGAGCATGAGCAGGGGGAGAAGCAGAGGGAGAGGGAAAAGCATAAAGGAGAATGGGTTTTGCTGAGATAGAGGCCTGGAGGTGCTGTGCTGCTCCCGGAAAGAAGGAAGGCAAACAATCCAGGGAGAGACAGCATGGAAAATGATCTGAAGAACACCTGCAGAACACAGAGGAGAGACTGTTCACTCTTCTCAGAGTGCATCTCTGAGAGACAGTGTTCACGGAGATACCTCCAGGAACAGGGGAGCTGGCTGGTGCCATTTCACTCCCCACCCCTCAGCATAAACACAAAGCCACCTGCAGGAAGCACAACAAACAAAGCCTAAAGCCAGGAAGAAGGAAGGAAATAATAAAGGCTAAAGCAGAAATAAATGAAACAGAACCTAAAAAACAGCCAATAAAACAGATCAATGAAAGCAGGAGCTGGGTCTTTGAAAAGATTAACAAAATTGATAAACCTCTAGCCAGATTTACCAAAAAGAAAAGAGAAAGGACCCAAATAAATAAAATCACAAATGAGAAAGAAATAACAACCAACACTGCAGAAATACAAACAACTAGAATATTATGGAAAACTATACGCCAGCAAATTGGACAACCTGGAAGAAATGGATACATTCCTAGAAACATATAAATGATGAAAACTGAAAGAGGAAGAAATAGAAAGCTTCAACAAACCAATAACCAGCAAAGAAATAGAATCAGTAATCAAAAATCTCCCAACAAATAAAAGTCCATGGCCACATGGCTTCCCAGGGGAATTCTACCAAACATTTAAAGAACAGTTAATACCTATTCTTCTCAAACTATTCCAAAAAATAGAAACGGAAGAAAAACTTCTAAATTCATTCTATGAGGCCAGCATTACCCTGATACCAAAACCAGATGAAGACTCCATTAAAAAAGAGAATGAGAGGCCAATATCCCTGATGAATACGAATGTAAAAACTCTCATTCAAATACTAGCAAACCAAATCCAACAGTACATTAAAAGAATCGTTCACCAGGATCAACTGGGATCTATTCCTGGGCTGCAAGGTGGCTCAATATTCAACAACCAATCTACGTGATATACCACATCAATAAAAGAAAGGTAAAGAACCATATGATCCTTTCAATAGATGCAGAAAGAACATGTGACAATGTACAACATCCATTCATGATAAAAAAAAAAAACCCTCAACAAAGTAGGGTTAGAGGGACCCTCTAACATACCTCAACATAATAAAGGCCATATATGAAGAGCCCATAGCTAATACCATCCTCTATGGGGAAAAACAGAGCTTTTCCTCTATGGTCAGGAACAAGTCAAGGGATGTCCACTCTCACCATTGTTACTCAACATAGCACTGGAAGGCCGAGCCACAGGAAGCATACAACAAAAAGAAATAAAAGGCATCCAAAACGCCAGGAAGAAGTGAAACGTTCACTGTTTGCAGATGACATGACACTCTATATAGAAAACTCGAAAGGCTCCACCCCCAAATTGCTAGAACTCATACAGGAATTCAGCAAAGTGGCAGGATATAAAATCAATGCACAGATGTCAGTTGCATTTCTATACACTAGCAATGAGGCAGAAGAAAGAGAAATCAAGGAATTGATCCCATTCACAATTGCACCAAAACCATAAGATACCTAGGAAGAAACCTAACCAAAGAGGTAAAAGATCTGTACTCTGAAAACTACAAAACACTGATGAAAGAAATTGAGGAAGACACAAAGAAATGGCAAAACGTTCCATGCTCATGGATTGGAAGAACAAATTTTGTGAAAAATCTATATTGCCCAAAGCAATCTACACATTTAATGCAATCCCTATCAAAATAACAACAGCATTTTTCACAGAGCTAGAATAAACAATCCTAAAATTTGTATGGAACCGCAAAAGACCCCAAATAGCCAAAGCAACCTTGAAAAAGAAAAGCCAAGCTGGTGGCATCACAATTCTGGACTTCAAGTTATATTACAAATCTGTATTGATCAAAACAGTATGGTACTGGCACAAAAATAGACACATAGATCAATGGAAGAGAATAGAAATCCCAGAAATGAACCCACAACTGTATGGTCAATTAATCTTAGACAAAGCAGGAAAGAATATTCAATGTGAAAAAAGACAGTCTCTTCAACAACTGGTGTTGGGAAAAGTGGACAGCCACATGCAAAAGTATGAAACTGGACCACTTTCTTACACCATACACAAAAATAAATTCAAAATGGATGAAAGACCTAAATTTGTGATACAGGGAAGCACTGACATTCTAGAGAACACAAGCAGTAACCCCTTTGACATTGGCCGTAGCAACTTCTTACTAGATATGTCTCCTGGGAGGCAAGGGAAACAAAAGCAAAAATAAATTTTGGGACTTCATCAAGATGAAACGCTTCTGCACAGTGAAAGAAATAATCGACAAAACTCGGGCGCCGGGGTGGCTCAGTTGGTTAAGCGACTGCCTTCGGCTCAGGTCATGATCCTGGAGTCCCAGGATTGAGTCCCGCATCGGGCTCCCTGCTTGGCAGGGAGTCTGCTTCTCCCTCTGACCCTCCTCCTCTCATGCTCTCTGTCTCTCATTCTCTCTCTCTCTCAAATAAATAAATAAAATCTGTAAAAAAAAAAAATCGACAAAACTGAAAAGCAACCTACGGAATGGGAGAAGATATTTGCAAATGACATATCCAATTAAGGGTTAGTATCCAATGTATATAAAGAACGTATAAAACTCAACGCCCCAAAAACAAATAATCCAGTTAAAAAAATGGGCAAAAGACATGAATAGTCATTTTTCCAAAGAAGACATCCAGATGGCCAACAGACACAAGAAAAGATGCTCAACATCACTCATCAGGGAAATGGAAATCAAAACTACAATGAGATACCATCTCCCATATGTCAGAATGGCTAAAATCAACAACACAAGAAACAACAGACGTTGGTGAAGATGTGGAGAGAGGGGAACCCTCTTGCACTGTTGGTGGGAATGCAAACTGGGTCAGACATGCTGGAAAACAGTATGGAGGTTCCTTGAAAAGGTATAAATAGGGGCGCCTGGGTGGCTCAGTCGTTAAGAGTCTGCCTTCGGCTCAGGTCATGATCCCAGGGTCCTGGGATCGAGCCCCACATCGGGCTCCCTGCTCAGTGGGAAGCCTGCTTCTCCCTCTCCCACTCCCCTTGCTTGTGTTGCTGCTCTCGCTCTCTCTCTGTCAAATAAATAAATAAAATCTTAATAAAAAAGGTAAAAATAGAACTTCACTCTGATCCAGCAATTGCAGCACTAGGTATTTACTGAAAGAATACAAAAATACTAATTCAAAGGGATACCTGCACCCCGATGTTTATAGCAGCATTATCTACAATAGCTAAAATATGGAAACAGCCCATTTCTGACTGATGAATGGATGAAGAAGACATTGTGTGTGTATACACACACACACACACACACACAATGACATATTAGTCATTAAAAAGAATGAAATCTTACCATTTGCAACTACTTGGAGATAGAGAGTATTATGCTAAGGGGAATATGTCAGTCAGAGCAAGACAAATGCCTTATAGTTTCACTCAAGTGGAATTTATGAAACAAAACAAATGAGCAAAGGGGAAAAAATGGAGAGAGAGACAAACCAAGAAACAGACTCTTAATTATAGAGAACAAACATGTTTACCGAAAGTGAAGGAGGTGGGAATGGGATAAATATGTGGTGGGCATAGGGAGGGCACTTGTGATGAGCACCGGGTATTGTATGGAAGTGTCCAATTACTCTATTGTACACCTGAAACTATTATTACATTGTATGTTAGCTAACTGGAATTTAAATAAAACTTAAATAAAAAAAGAAATGTCCAGTAGGTAACTGCAACTTAGAATAGTAGTTGGGGTTGAACCCACAGAGATTTAATTTAAGGGTAGAACTGTTGAGTACAGCCACTGTGCAACTTCATGGGACATTTACATTTACCACAATATGAATAGTGGCCCTTTGGTGGGTTCTCAATATTTGGTGGTGATTTAAACCATGAATGGGAATAAGATCACTCAGGAAGTAAGTATAAATAGACTTAGGAAAGAAGTGAAAAACAATGCTACAGAAATAGCCCTGGGACCAGCTATTTTCTGGGATATTCTGGCAACACTATATAGGGCTTCATTCTTTAGGATTGTCTCTTCCCTCCAGCTATTCCCAGACAAGGCTAATTTAGTACTGATATAAGCACATCAAGAGGCTGGGGAAAGTTGGTTTGATCTTCAAGGCAAAGGATGATTCTTGTTTTGCATGACATTTGCCCTTCCTTCCACCTTGCCCTTCTACCTATTAGAAATAATCACAGAATATAGTCTTCGGGCCAGTTTCTCTGACACCTGAGAGATTTCTTTGTATCTCGGTTACTGGGCTTGCTAAATCTGCCAGAGAGGTAGCCCAACTTATAAGCATAGATCTAGATGTTCTGAAACATTTGGATGGAATCATTTCCCATTTTTCAAATGGACTCTTTGGCACTGGCCTGGAAGGGTCACCCATCCCCTTGCTTTGCCTTTTCAGTTCTGATTTCTAGAGGTTTAGTGAAATATTTTTCCTCCTTTACCCACAGTTCTCAAGGCAGAGTTCCTGGAGATGAGAGTTGAGGCCTCCGGTATGTAGTCTCCACTCCTGATTACAGAACCTTGTAACATGTAAGCCTTCTTTATGGGATCTGAGCTTTTGAGGACTAAAATATCTTGTGGTTCCAGAGGATAGGAACACATTCCATGTCTCAGTTCATTAACCTGTAATTATGTGACCCTTAAACTTACTACCTTCCAATTCTGAGGTTCCCTGTGTTTTTAAGTCTCCTTCCTCTTTCCTTTCTTTCTCCCCCCCAACCGAATTACAGTGTAGTTTTACAAGTTGCCTTTGGATAAAGTTCATTAGGAATCCTAGACTGTGACATGTGGCAAGTACATTTTGTTCTCTTAGCCTCAATTTCCCAATCTGTAAAATTAAAAGTTTGGAACCCTGTAACTCTGACATCCCTTGGGTCTATAAGAAAATCGGTAACCTCTCTTTTGGTATTATAGCAAGTACCATGAGTCCACTTAAGTATCATATAGGGACTTCACACCTTCAGACCAAATCACTATTTAAGTCTTTTCCCCCGAACCTCTATCCTTAGTCTTGTATATTTGTTTAATGAAAAGTACTTTCACTTCCATTATTTCATTAGATCCATACCAGATGCCAGAATAAAGAGGATAATATATATTTTAACTTGCAGATAAAGGAACTGAGGTTCAGAGGGGATAAATTAACTTGCTAAGGTCGCAGGAGCTACAGAGATCATAGAATTTATTTTTCTCTACCTAGGAGTTCTAATTGTTTGGCTATCAGATTTCTGGCATGACATTAACCAATATACTTATAAATGAGATCTGGGTATCTGGAGAAGAGCTTTCCATTTGTTCCCCAGCCTCCCTTTACTTCCTATCACTGCCAGTCCTCAGGGGTCCATAGGCTGATAAGCTTTTCCTTATTATCCCTCATGGAAGTGAAATCCCAAAAAAGAAATTTGGAGTCAGTATAGGGCCGTAAAGGCAGTGTCTATGTTGTAGGTGGGTAGTCTCAAAGGTATCAGGCTTCATCTTCTGTAGACTTCTGGGGGATTACAATTGAGGTCAAATGCACAGTTTCCAGCCCTGATTATAGCACCATCTTAGGCCTGTTTCATGGGATCTAAGTTGTAAGGGCCTTTTCCTAGCCAGCCTCTGTTGCTCAGAAGATTAGCTACCAATTATGTATTTACCTACCTACCAAGATAGGCCTCACTTCTCAGTGGCTGTTAAGTACTTGACCAGTCCTAGCTAATTACCTACTCTCTTCTTTCCTTTTCAGGTTTTAAAATCCTTGGCCTCAGGGGACCCTTCACTGTTCTGGAAGGGTCTTCTTCAAACTCTTCTGTGCTGAGTCATTTTGTGCTGAAGAGAGCAGCTCCTTCCTGGCCCTGGACCTTCAGGCTCTAGGATGCTATAAAATAAGGGGCACATGTCTTAGACACAGGTTTATTTCTCTTATGTTTTCTGTCTTTGTTCCCTCAGAAGGTCTATGTTGAGCTCCTATATGATTGTGAATGGCTGAACTCCCTCAAGCCAGACTGCAGAAACCAAGCTATCTACTGACCTGAGTTGAAGAAAGGAGCTTAGTTTTCAACTCTTCTCTGAATTTCCTGTCTCCTCAAAAGACCATCAAACTCTGAAATACTTGGGACTAAAGACTGATCTCAGAGGTCTTACCCTGAAGTAAAAGCTACTTGAGTTGGGGCCACTGCTTGCCTTGGAAGTAGAAGAGTAGGAATGTTTGCCAAACATTGGTGAATCTTGATATGTCTCTTACTGAGGATAATGACCCTGGCACCAGGTTGGAGCTCTGGCACTGCAGTATATTGCCAAGAACCTGTCTGTTCCTATTGGGCCAAACAGCATATGGGTGATATCAACCACAACTTCATGTGAACTCAGGACGGTGGCCTTTCTGTTTTTGCATAAAACCACTTAGGACAAATCTGCAAAGAATATTTTGCATGTTGAAGCCTTAGGTCTGTTTGAATTATTTTTCCTCCTATTTTTTTCCTGACAGCTTAATTTCTAAACAATCAAGAAAGAAACAAAAACTGAAAACAATTCTTTAAAAAAGCAGACTGTATCTGTCCTGCAGAAGTTCCACTTCTGGGTCAAATACTGGGAAAAATTGTTAAAATGGATTGAGGTGAGGCAGCTGGCACTGTTGCTTCATGTTTGCCTTCTGCAGATAAGCTTTTATCTCCAGCAAGAAGCAACTCCTAACCCAGTGTCCATGGATTCAGAAACTCCATGAAGCTTCTGAAATGGTATGCAGAATTCCATGACAATGTACCTTTTCTGGGGAGATGGTCCATAACATTCTACTGAATTTCAGATGGGCCTGTGACCCAATAAGGGTTAAGAACCATAACACTTGAGATAAAAGACTCTTTACAACCCATAAAGTATTTGATTGGAAGGCCTTCCAAAATTATTTAGTCTAATTGCCTAGTTTACTATTGGAGAAACTGAGGCAGAGCAAGTTATCAGCCATGCCTAAACAAGTACCCAGGTCCCTGGGCTCCTGTACAAGTTTCTTTCCATTATACGACACTTGTCTAACAAGGGGCCTTATGATTGGTGGCGTTAGTGGTCATCATTTTGAGTGTTGGGCTTTTACCCTCTTTCTTGAGCCTCCCATATTTGTTAGCAAGTGGAAAACTTTCAGACACAAGCTCCTGGTGTTACATTTGCCATTTCAGTCATTAGAAAGGAACTAAAACACAACCTGTGTAGTGACTCAGAAATCTGAATAGACATTTCTGATGCTTGTTTATTGATGGGAAGCTGCTGGAGAAAGTGTCACTGTTTGTGTTCCCATGCTCTCAGGCCATAACCTGTCTTTAGGGTCTGTGTAATTATAATATGGCCAAGTGTGAGAAAAAGGGCTTTCCTACTTGAACCCTTCTAGCAATACCTTCACTATGGAACTGAGAGAGAAGCATAGACATGGGTGAAGGGAGGAGAAGAAGAGAAGAAAGGAGAGGGAGATGGAGGAAGGGGAAGAGAGAGAGAGAATACACACATGCCCAAACCAACTCTGAGATGCCTTTGAAACAATGTTACTGAAAGATGATAACCACTTTCAAAACTGAACTCAACATGATCCATTCGTGAATTAGTAACATGTAGGCCTTTGTGGAAGTAATCGAGCAGAAACTTGATGCTATTCCCAATAAAGACATGCCCAGGTGGCCACGTAAAACTCTCTCAGCTCTACCTAGTCTCAAAGGCCAAGTTAACAAGAACCAGGAACAAGTGAGCCAAGTGATCACCATTCTACCTGAGGCTCACCCCCAAAGGAAGTTGCTGTGAGACTCCTGGCCTCACCCAGGAAGTACTTGTTGAGCCCCATTCTCAGAGCTGTGGCCTCTCTGCTTGCTTTGCCCCATTAGATAACTAACTAAAGCAAGTAGGTATGTAGATTTTGGCCACAGAAGCAGTGGCCAGTGGGGCTTCAGTACATTTGAAGATGGTAGGGCCATCATTTCACTTTTGTTTTCTTGGGGTGGGGGAATACCAAAATCACCACTACAAATACTGAAAGATTATTGAGAACCAGAGAAAGCCACTGCAGTCCCAGTTGAATAGATGTCCCAGAAATGTGACCATGAGATTACTGTGTGTTTTCTGGGACATAGATCAAGAGCCTGGCCTAGAAAGTTGGGACTACCAGGCTGGCTGGAGACCGGGAAGCAGTAGCTGGATAGCTCTGCCCCTGCCCTAGGCTATACCTGAAGAAGGCCCAAAAATGAACCTCAGTGCCTCCCCCTTTTACGTTCTAATTTAAAGAGCAAAAGCTTCTGTGGTGAGGCTCACTGTCATGGAATGAAACTGGCTTGGCCCAGGCTTGATGGATGAATAGTCATTCAGAAGAGGCTATGGGAATGGGGTGATAATTGAAGAGTGGCAACTATAGGAAATTATCTGCATACCTTGGCCAGCAGGTTAGAGAAACTGGCAATGGATGAACCATAAACCTTGAACTGACAGTGATAACATTTATTAAGCACCTACTAAGTTCTAAGTGCTTCATATACATAATCTCCTTTGTCCTTAAAACAATGATGCAAGTAGATGCTAGTCCCTCATTTTACAGAAAAAAGAATTGTGGCCCAGAAGGCTAAAGTAACTGGCTCAAGGTCTCACAGAAAGTAAATAACAGGACTGTGACTCGAATCCAGGCCTCTCCGACTCTGTACCCCATGCTGTTTTTCTCTTTACCACACAGAGGCTACATTACTGGAACTGGATGACTGACTTTCTCTGCCTAATAAAATATTAAAAAGCAAGCATTTGAAGGGAAGTAGGGCAGGTCTAGTTTACAGGGGAACAAAAACTGGACTGGAAGAGATTTCTGAGTTGGGCTTTCTCCTAACCTTCCATATACCCATTTGGTAATGTTTTAAAAAGATCATTCAATTTTACCTTGTGAAATGAATTTACTTTTTAGTTCGTAGTTACTAAGTCTTTGGCTTAGCTGTTTTTCAAAGAAAAAAGGGTCCTTGTATATGTCTATGTACTTTACCATGGTTGTAGCATGTTTATTTTCAGTCCAAGAGACTGAAGACATCCACACATACAGTTCGAGAAGGACAAAACATATTGGTGCCTCTCTGGTACTTAATGCCTTGGGGTCAAATCCTTACAAGGTTTTCTGTGGTGATAACAAAAGTTAAGAGAGAATTTAGAATAAGAAATATCATTGAAGTTTTTGCTTTAAAAAAGGTGGGGAGGTTGTCCAGCCACAGGGTGGGGGTGTGAAACTCAGCACCCGACTTCAGTAATAAAACAGCATCATATAGAAATACTCTAGTATTTCTAAAATAATTGTTTTAGGATACTTCCCTTATTTAGAAGTTCCTTGATTATGTAATAACTAGAATAAAGTAGTAGAGGAAGATGTGTCTCTGTGACCAGAAAAAAATCGCTTTCAAAAGAATGTAGATCAATGATACTAGTTTTAACATAGCTGCAAGCAAATAGCCTTGACACACTACAAGCCCAAAAAGCTTTAGGAGCACTTAAAAATTGCAGAGAGAAGCAACATACCTTGAAGAGATGTTTTTGATGACGAAAAGTCTTCATTTTCACAGGGAAAAGAAGCACTTGATACCAAGGGCATTAATAGATGCTAGAAAGACTGCCTATGGGAAATATATATGTGACATCAGACAAAAGAAAGAGATCCTGGGGCCCATTCATGTGACTTTCAATAAAATATGCAGACTGTCCAGTATTGATGGTGTCCATCTGCAGTTTTTTTTTTAATTTTATGTAAATTCAAGTTAACATGTAGTGTATTAGAAGTTTCAGAGGTAGAATTTAGTGATTTATCAGTTGCATATATCTAGTGGCAGTTTTTTCATGGAAACAGTCTTTGAGCATATTAGACATGATGATGCAGCCACCATGCACTGCTCATGTCATCTTTTGCAATTCTAAGGAAACCCAGGCTTTGGTTTTTATAACCAGGATTCCTTTTATAACCTTTTATAACCAGGATTTTCAATCTACAGTCTACTTTGCACCAAACCCTTGTCATTCCCTCAGGCCTCACAACATCACTGCATGATGGGTAATAGCCCCATTTTACAGATAAGGAAAGTTGAGGTTCAGGGAGATGAGAAATGACTGCTCAAGATCACACAGCTAAGGATTGATAAAAATTCAGGACTGGAAGCTACAGAGGCCTTACTGTTTCTAATACATCACACTACCCCCCTTAGTAGTAAAGGAATCCTGGTGGTAAATAGAGAAGATGTTTAGAAATGAGACTGATGGAAACAACATCTATAAGTCTTGCTACTCCAAATGTGGTCCATCATCCCCCTCAGCATCATCATTACCTGGGAGCTTGTTAGAAGCAGATTCTTGAGCAGCACGACAGACATTTGTAATCAAAACCTTTATTTTAATAAGAGCTCTATATTTCTATGCTCATTAAAGTTTGAGAAGCACTGATATAAGGCATTTGAAACAGAAAAGCAGGTTGAGGAAGGAGAACTTTGGGTGAGCCAAAGACCAAAAATGGTGGATAAGGCTAATCTGGTTATGTTGGGAGTGTTTAGAAAGATTGTGTCCATAGCTGACGACTACTTAGAGTGCTTTGTATATGGCCTCATACTTAGATGACATGTAAATGAAGTTTCTCCACTTCAAAGAATAGTGAAACCAGCCTAGGGAAAAAGACTGAAAAATCACTTGATTTTCCAGTCTCTGACCACTAAAGGCAGTGGAAAGGCAACATGCAGCAGTGGAAGGAACTCCTTTCAGAAGCCCTGGGGGTTCCAGATTTGCCTCTGTCACTGATTCTCTTTAATGCTCAGCAAGTACCTCCCTCTCTGTAGGTCTCAAATTGTCCTTATTATTTTTTTTAATTCAATTAGCCAACATATAGTACCTCATTAGTTTTTGATGTAGAGTTCAATGAATCATTAGTTGCATATAACACCCAGTGCTCATCACATCACGTGCCCTCCTTAATGCCCATCACCCAGTTACCCCATCCCCCCACCCACCTCCCTTTCCACAACCCTCAGTTTGTTTCCCAGAGTCAAGAGTCTCTCATAGTTTGTCTCCCTCTCTGATTTCTTCCCATTCAGTTTTCCCTCCCTTCCCCTATGATCCTCTGCACTATTCCTTATATTCCACATGTGAGTGTCTTTAAACAGGATAGTCTTAAAGTGCCTTTTAAGTTTTGATGTTCTGTTATTCTCAACTGTGGGTTTTGCTACAGATTACATTTAATTAAAACATGGACAAATCTATAGGCTTTTGTCTGGCCCTAGTTTAACATCCTCAGTTCACATAAGAAGGGGTATTCTGGGAGGAAATCTCACAGTCACAACAAAGCAACATTAATGGGAATTGCAAGGAACTGGGAGGGGCATGACTCTAGTTAACCAGCTTGAAATGGGCTAGGAAAAATTTAAATTAGAAAACTTTGAAATTTGAGTGGCGCCTGGGTGGCTCAGTCGTTAAGCATCTGCCTTCGGCTCAGGTCATGATCCCAGGGTCCTGGGATTAAGCCCCGCATTGGGCTCCCTGCTCGGCAGGAAGCCTGCTTCTCCCTCTCCCACTCCCCCCACTTGTGTTCTCTCTCTCGCTCTGTCTCTCTCTGTCAAATAAATAAATAAAATCTTTAAAAAAAAAAACTTTGAAATTTGAGAATCAATTGCTTCAAACCACATACTTGGGATTCAAATCCTATATCCTAAATAGGGCTTACTTTGCATGATTTAATAAAGTAAACTGCTCTGACTTGAGCTTTTAGGGGATAGTTTATTGGGGGTAGGAGGGGCATATAAAAAGGAGAGAACTTCTACTTATCCGCCATCTGCCACTCATCTCTCCAAGTGATTCTGATGCCTATTAGGTGAAGACAATTGGCTATAATATAACCTCTTAAAATGGAAAAACAGATTCAGAGAGGAGAAGGGACTTGTCTAAGGCCACATACCAGAGACAATGGCAGAAAACAGGTGATCAAAGTTCAACTCTCTTTGGGTGACTAGTTTATCCAAATCATATCTGCTTCCAACATCAGAGCACACACTGGGGAGGACTGATAAACGTTCCATCTGGGTATTTTGTCCCCATCACATGTTTACAGTCATTGTTTCAGTCAAGCCTCACACAACCATATCATCTAGGCAGAGCAGAGATCATTACCCTCATTTTACTGAGGCTCAGAGAGGTGACACAACATGACTAAGGACATGCAAGTAGAAAATAAACTTGGACCTAGGTTTTCTGATTTCATCTATACTGTGCTGCTTCCCTAGGAGAGGAGAAGCAGCCCTCCAAACCCTCAGCACTTCTGGGAAATATCAACTCTAAGATTTTTTTTCCTAAGATTTGAGAGAGAGAGAGAGAAAGAGCAGGAGGAGGGGCAGAGGGAGAGGGAAGCAGATGCCCTGTTGAGGAGGGAGCCCGATGTGGGGCTCGATCCCAGGATCCTGGGATCTTGACCCGAGCCGAAGGCAGATGCTTAACCAACTGAGCCATCCAGACACCCCACAGCTCTAAGCTTTTAATTGCTTCAATCCAATTGCTTCAAAACAGATGGACTCTTTTTTTCCCTGTTGGAAAATATCCTAACAGTTTTATAACTTGAAACTGCAGAGCCCTCTTAGATCCATCATTTTGTCCTCACAACAACCCAAAAGGTAGGCAAGATAAGGCATTTTGCTCCATTTGACAGATATATAAATTGAGGCTCAGAGCATTGTATTATTTCTCTGTTGCTGCTGTAACAAATGACTACAAATTGAGCAGCTTATAACAACATCCATTTATTCTCTCACAGTTTCTGTAGGTCACAAATTCAGCATAGTGTGGCTGGATTCTCTTCTTAGGGTCTCAGTGAACTAAAATCAAGATATCAGCTGGGGTTGTGGTTGTCATTTGGGGCTCAGAATCTTCTTCCAAGCTGGTTATTGGCAGAATTCAGTTCCTTGTTGTTATGTGACTGAGGTCATCATTTTTTTGACAAGTGCCCCTCTCCATATTCAAGCTAACAATGGCATGTCAAATCCTGCTTCCCCTTTTGCATCTCTCTGACTTCCTCTTTTGCCTCTGCTGTTAAGGGCTTACTCTTTTATTGGAGTGATTTCATTGGGCCCACACAGATAATCCAGGATAGTCTCCCTATTTTAAAGTCAGTAGTAACCTTAATCACATTTCAGCATCTCTTTTGCCATATAATTACAGTTCTAATGATTAGGACATAAAATATTCTTGAGGGTCGGGGCACCTGGGTGGCTCAGTCGTTAGGCGTCTGCCTTCGGCTCAGGTCATGATCCCGGGATCCTGGGATCGAGCCCCGCATCGGGCTCCCTGCTCAGCGGGAAGCCTGCTTCTCCCTCTCCCACTCCCCCTGCTTGTGTTCCCTCTCTCTCTGTCTCTCTGTCAAATAAATAAATAAAATCTTTAAAAAATATATTCTTGAGGGTCATAATGTTGCTTAACATTGAAGCAGCTACCTACAGAAACCCTGCCTTTCACTGTAAAGACACATGGTTGTCAAGATCTTTATCCTGGGGAAGAAAATAATTACCATGTGCATCCCACTTACATGAGCAGTTGGAAACTCTGATGCTGTTCAACTTCTCCCATCTCTCAAATTCACTCAGAGACAGTTGGGCAACACACCAAAGAAAGTGGTAGCTGGAGTGCAAGGGGGGCTCTTTGGAAGCTGATGGTATTCCAAGATGGCACCTTGATGCTGGTGACCAATTCCGTAACTATGTCTCATTCTATCTAGGACAGGGAGAAGCAGCTTCCCCAAAGGCCCAAGGTAGGATAGGTATTCCCCATATAACTTGACCAGGGGTGCTAACACTTGTATAGCATATACTGTATACCAAATATGTCTTTATGTGCTTTTGAATGGGTTTATTGAATTTGTCCTGATATTTCTATGAGGTGAGTAATGGTAATAACTCTGTTTCATAGATGAGAAAACTGAGGCACAGAATAGTTATGCCATTTGCCCAAGTTCTCAGAGCCAGGAAATGGTAAATTCCTCTATGGCTAATCCTCTGTGCCTTCCACCAGATTGAGATAATTTTCCTAGAGGAGACACTGAGGCCAAATTGATTTAAAAGTCCCTTGCACCTTTGATTCTCTAAGCTTGCCCTCAGGGTCCTGCAATTCTGGAAACCCAAGTGAGCACAACTGAACTTTCTGAAAGAGTATGTTGAATTTAGACTTTTAGTGGGTTTTACAGAGCCAGCGGACTACAAAGTGAAGGTGCCCAATCTTTTCTCAGAGGCTGGAAGAAAAGGAGACTGTCAGTTCATGTGAATGGGGTCAAGATGGGTTGGCCCCAGGAATGCTCTCTCCAGAGTAGACTTTCCACTTGGTAGCCTCCACATGAGACAGGAGATCTCCCTGTTTTAGTGTGCTTTGAAGTTGTACTACTTTCTCTGTGTGTGAAGCCCATTTCCTGAAGGCCCAAGCCCTCAGAACGCCCAAAAAAGGTACCTAAAATTAAGCCTGCAAAAGAGGGCTGTAGAACAAAGCTAGGCAGTCGTCTTCTCTATGCTGGCCTTTTCCCAGCCCTTGGCAAGCTTGTGGGAACTGAGTTTATACAAGTATTGTCAGACCTGGATTTACTCCTCTGGCTTCTGCTTCCTCAGCTACTCCCATCTAGTCCCATGATGCTACCAACCTATTGTAGTTCCCAGAGCCATTAAAATATGAGGTAGGTAGGGTATGAACAACCTCAGTCCAAACTGTAGCTCACCTTTTCTCCACCCCTACTATCATCCTGCAGGACTCAGAATTCTGTCTCCCTTATGGAGCTAAGATCTACAAGGACTCAGTAAAGACTGATTTTCTCTGTTGCTCCCTGTGTCTTCTTTGCTAGCCATTGCAGATCAGACCCTGGCCTCTAATTCCTATGGAAGGAATTTAAAACACTATTATCTATATTCATGTCTCAATCACCATTGGCAAGTTATTTCACCCTAATAACTGTGGTTGGCCCTTAATAAATTCTCAATTAATATTAACCAGTCATAGTCATAGAAGTAGTAACCAGAAGTAGTCACAGAAGAAGTGGCGGTGACGGTGGTGGTAGAAGCAGCTGCTTCAGTTGCTATCCAGGAATAGAATCTTCCCTACACCCCTTCAGAGCTGGTAGATCATGCTCTGTCATTCAAGATCTTCCCAAATGTTATCTTCCACTTGATTCTTAGATTTTTCAATGCAGTGTAACCTGTTATGTCCTTTGTCCTTGTAACTAGCCATCCTGACCCCTACTACCCTATCTATGTTGTTCCCATAACTGGCTCAGTTCCCCCCATACTTGGTCTCATACAGGAGTTTATGCCAAAAACAGTCCCAACTACTCTGTGCACTTGCCAACAGTCAGGTCTGGAGGATTCCTATGCCTTGAGGTCTGACAGGTACTTTTTCTTCCTATGACAAACTCCTGATGATGTGGCTAGGGTACCTCCACCTTTTTGAGCACCCCTTAGGATATTTTGGGGAACAGCTGTCTTTCCCACTCTCCCTTACTTTCTTTTACTCTTTTAATATAGTTACTCCTATATTTTTTAATCCTAATGTCATTATAATTGTGCTTATGGTTCTTCCTCAAATGCACTCAGTGAAAGGGTGGACAAATCCTACAGGGGAGATAGAAAGAAGCCCTATCCTGCTACTGGCTGATTTCATGCTTAATTGTAAATTAATCCTGGGTTAGCTGTCCAGGGTGTATTTATGTCCAGCAAAATATCACATTATTTTCCCTGTAATGAATAAGACATCACAAAATGTGTTAGGAAATGGTCTTTAAATAAATTTGAAGAGCTCTGGGAAAGAAGCACAGTCAGCCAAGTAGCCAGGCCAATCCCGCTGTGACAAAGGGAGAAAGGGGCTCAGCCCTGACCACAAATATATAGGTTATGAGAATCAGATCTGGAGCCTTTGTACAATTTGTGCTTCTAGAATTCAGGTCATTGGGAGTTGAAACAAGGCCCACAATGGAGTTGGGGTCCCCTGAGACTAAGGGAAGGAAATAAACATTGTGGAGTATCTATCATGAGCCAAGCATGAGGTGGGAGGGGCCTGAATCCTTGGGTCTTTCCAGGAGATCTAGCATAAGAGTTAGGGTGGTAATTGGGTGAGAAAAAAAAAAAAAAAACCAGTACTACCACCTGGAAGGCACATTACATACACTGTATGTACATTGTCTCATTTGAGCCTCTCCAATACCTCATTTTAGTCCCATTTTACAGATAAAAAGACTGAGATCCAGAAATATCATTACTTGCTCAAAGTCACATAGAGATTAAATGGTAGAAGCCAAGATAGGAATGGAGACCTGTGGGAGTCCTGAGCCTGTAAAAAGATGGCATATTTTCATTACTGAAAACTTTTTTAACACTGAGGGCCCCCAAACTCAGTTGAACTGCCATCTCTAAAAGAAACTTTTCATTATGGTGCTGCAAGAGGTGGGGCAAGGGGGAAGTAATAAGTATACAGCCAGTGCCTGAAGCAAGTTGGGGATAGGGAAGTACAGGACTACTTCTAGTTCATTTTTTATTTCTTAAAGATGTTATTTATTTGAGAGAGAGAAAGAGAGACAGAGCATGAGTGGGGGAGAGGGGCAGAGAGAGAGGGAGATAGAGAATCCTTGAGCAGATTCCTCACTGAGCAAGGAGCCTGAGGCAGGGCTGCATCCTAGGACCCCGGGATCATGACCTGAGCCAAAGGCAGACACCAGTGGACTGAGCCACCCAGGTGCCCCAGGACTACCTCTGGTTTATATGGAGGCTTTGTGTGAATTAGAAAACACCCATTGCTCAAGACACATTATAGCCATCTGCCAGAAAGATTTAATAAGCAGACAAATCTCTGATTGAAAGGTGAGATGTGGCCATCACAACCACATTCTGTGGCCCTGGAAAGGTGCCCAGAAGTGCAAAGGAGGTGAAACAATCATGAAACAACTGAGGCATTAATGAGCATGCCTCAGATCTATCTAAGGACTAGAAGATTATTCTACATATCAAGGCCTACATGGTTCTAAGGGAAAAGGAATTGTGGAAGCTAAGTTAGAGAGAAAGAAGGACTTTGAACTTACATTATTAACATATTTTTGAAGATCTTAAAGCTTTACAAAGCTGACTGGTAGTTAAGGGAAAAAATTAAGCAATGGAAGAGGTAAAGGCCCTCTGCTAGGTTCTTATACACTACATTTCTCATTTATTTCTCATAATAGCTCTGGGAGAGATAGTGCACTAATTTGAGATATGTAGAAACTGAAGCTCTACAAGTTTTTTTTTTTCCCAAGTCTTTTTTTTTAACTCCAATATAGTTAACATACAGTGTGATATTAGTTTCAGGTGTATGATATAGTGATTCAACAATTCCATACATCACCCAGTACTCATTACAACAACAAGTATACTCCTTACCATCTGCCCCCAACCTCCCCTCTGGTAATCATTAGTTTGTGCTCTATAGTTAAGTGTTCTTTCTTGGTTTCTCTCTGTCTCTCCCTTACTTTTTGCTTTTGCTCATTTATTTTGTTTCTTAAATTCCACATATGAGTGAAATCATGGCATTTGTTTTCTTTGATGTATTTCACTTAGCACAATACTCTCTACTTCCATCCACGTCATTGCAAATGGTAAAATTTCATTTCTTTTTCTGGCTGAATAATATTCCATTGTGTATATATACCATTTCTTCTTTTTTATTTAAAATCAATTATTTAACATATAGTGTATTATTAGTTTCAGAGGTAGAGTTTAGTGACTCATCAGTTGCGCAAAACACCCAGTGCTCATTACATGAAGTGCCCTCCTTAATGCCCATAACCCAGTTACCCCATCCCCCACCCACTTCCCCTCCAGCAACCCTTCCTTTGTTTCCTATAGTTAAGAGTCTCTTATGCTTTTTCTCCCTCTCTGATTTTGTCTTCTTTTATTTTTCCTTCCCTTTCCGTATGTTCATCTATTTTGTTTCTTAAATTCCACATATAAATGAAATCATTTGAGATTTGTCTTTCTCTGATGGACTTATTTTACTTAGCATAATGTCCTCTAGTTCCATCCATGTTGTTGCAAATGGCAAGATTTCATTCTTCTTGATGGCTGAGTAATATTCCATTATGTATATATACACCACCTCTTCTTTATCAATTCATCTGTCAATGAATTGACAGATGGGATCTTTCCATATTTTGGCTATTGTGGACATTGGTGCTATATACATATATATATATATATATATATATACTTTGAATCACTATGTATCCTTTGGTTAAATACTTAGTAGAGCATTTGCTGGGTCATAGGGTATTTCTATTTTTAACTATTTGAGAAACTTCCATAATGTTTTCCAGAGTGGATGTACCAGTTTGCATTCCCACCAATAGTGCAAGATGGTTCGCCTTTCCCACATCCTCACCAACATCTGTTGTTTCCTGAGTTGTTAATTTTAGCCATTCTGACTGCTGTGAGGTGGTATCATTGTGGTTTTGATTTGTATTTTCCTGATGTTGAGTGATGTGGAGCATTTTTTCACGTGTCTGTTGGCCATTCGTATGTCTTCTTTGGAGAAATATCTGTTCATGTCTTCTACCCATTGCTTGACTGGATTTTTTGTGTTTTGGGGGTTGAGTTTAATAAATTCTTTATAGATCTTGGATACTAGCCCTTTCTCTCAGAAGACATTTGCAAATATCTTCTCCCATTCTGTAGGTTGTTATTTAGTTTTGTCAACTGTTTCCTTTGTTGTGCAAAAGCTTTTTATCTTGATGAAATCCCAAAAGTTTATTTTTGTTTTTGTTTCTCTTGCCTTTGAAGACATGTCTAGCAAGAAGTTGCTGCAGCCAAGGTCAAAGAGGTTGCTGCTTGTGTTCTCATCTAGGATTTTGATGGATTCCTGTCTCACATTTAGGTCTTTCATCCATTTTGAGTTTATTTTCATGTAAGGTATAAGAAAGTGGTCTAGTTTCATTCTTCTGCATGTGACTGTCCCATTTTCCCAACACCATTTGTTAAAGTGACATTTTTTCCATTGGATATTCTTTCCTGCGTTGTCAAAGATTAGTTGACCATAGAGTTGAGGATCCATTTCTGGGCTCTCTATTCTGTTCCATTGATCTATGTGTCTGTTTTTATGCCAGTACCATACTATCTTGATGATTACAGCTTTGTAAAGAGCTTGAAGTCCAGAATTCTGATGCCACCAGCTTTGGTTTTCTTTTTCAACATTCCTTTGGCTATTTGGGGTCTTTTCTGATTCCATACAGATTTTAGGATTATTTATTCCAGCTCTGTGAAAATGTCAATCATATTTTAATAGGGATTGTGTTGAATGTGTAGATTGCTTTGGGTAGCATAGACATTTTAACTGTATTTGTTCTTCCAATCCATGAGCATGGAACGTTTTTCCATTTCTTTGCATCTTCCTGAATTTCTGTCATAAGTGTTCTATAGTTTTCAGAGTACAGATCCTTTACCTCTTTGGTTAGGTTTATTCCTAGGTATCTTATGGTTTTTGGTGCAATTATAAATGGGATCGATTCCTCGATTTCTCTTTCTTATGCCTCATTGCTAGTGTATAGAAATGCAGCTGAATTATGTGGATTGATTTCATATCCTGCCACTTTGCTGAATTCCTGTATGAGTTCTAGCAATTTGGGGGTGGACTCATGAATTTTCAACATAGAGTGTCATGTCCTCTGTGAAGAGTGAAAGTTTGACTTCTTTTTTATTTTATTATTTTATTTTATTTTATGTAATTGTATTTTATTTATTTAGTTGACAGAGAGAGAGATAGCGAGAGCAGGAACAGAAGCAGGGGGAGTGGGAGAGGGAGAAGCAGGCTTCCCACCGAGCAGGGAGCCCAATGTGGGACTCAATCCCAGGACTCTGGGATCATGACCTGAGCCGAAGGCAGATGCTTAACGACTGAGCCACCCAGGCACCAGAAAGTTTGACTTCTTTTTTGCTGATTTATATGCCTTTTATTTTTGTTGTCTGACTGCTGAGGCTGGGACTTCCAGTACTGTGTTGAACAGCAGTGGTGAGAGTGGACATTCCTGCTATGTTCCTGACCTAAGGGGAAAAGCTCTCAGTTTTTCCTCAATGAAGATGGTGTTCACTGTGGGTTTTTCCTATATGGCTTTTATGATATTAAGCTATGTTCCCTCTATCACTACACTGCAGAGAGTTTTAATTGAGAAAGGATGCTGTAGGGGACACCTGGGGGGCTCAGTCGGGTAAGCATCTGCCTTCAGCTCAGGTCATGGTCCCAGGGTCCGGGGATCAAGTCCCGTGTCAGGCTCCCTGCTCAGCGGAGAGTCTGTTTCTACCTCTCTCTCTCTCTGCCCCTCCCCCATTCATGCTTTTTTTCCCTCTCTCTCTCTGTCTCTCTCAAATAAATAAGTAAAATCTTAAAAAAAAGAAAGGATGCTGTATTTTCTCAAATGCTTTTTCTGTATCTATTGAGAGGATCATATGGTTCTTGTCCTTTCTTTTATTCATGTGGTGTATCACATTGATTGATTTACAGATGTTGAACCACCCTTGCAGCCCAGGAATAAATCCCACTTGATCATGGTGAACAATCAGTTTAATATACTGTTGGATCCTATTAGCTAGTATCTTGGTAAGAATTTTTGCATCCATGTTCATCAGGGATATTTGTCTGTAATTCTTTTCTGTGGGGGGTTTTTCTGGTTTTGGGATCAAGCTAATGCTGGCCTCATAGAATGAGTTTGGAATTTTCCTTCCATTTCTATTTTTTGAAACAGCCTCAGAAAAATAGGTATTGAGTCTTCTTTAAATGTTTGGTAGAATTCAGCTGGGAGACCATCTGGCCCTGGACTCTTGTTTGTTGGGAGATTTTTGATCAGTGCTTCAATTTCCTTGCTGGTTATGGGTCTGTTTAGGTTTTCTATTTCTTCCTGGTTCAGTTTTGGTAGTTTATATGTTTCTAGGAATGCAACGGTTTCTTCAAGATTGCCTAATTAGTTGGTGTATAATTACTCATAATATGCTCTTATAATTGTTTGTATTTCTTCAGTGTTGGTTGTGATCTCTCCTCTTTCATTTATGATCCTATTTATTTGGTTCCTTTCCCTGTTCTTTTTGATAAGTCTGGCTAGGGGTTTATCAATCTTATTCTTTCAAAGAACCAACTTCTAGTTTCATTGATCTGTTCTACTGTTCTTTTGATTTCTATTTCATTGATTTCTGCTCTAATCTTTATTATTTCCTTTCTCCTGCTATATTTAGGCTTTATTTGCTGTTCTTTTTCCAGCTCTTTTAGGTATAAGGTTCGGTTGTGTACTGGAGACTTTTCTTGCTTCTTGAGGAAGTCCTGTACTGCTATATACTTCCCTCTTAGGACTGCCTTTCCTGCATCCCAAAGGTTCTGAATTGTCATGTTTTCATTTTCATTTGTTTCCATGTGTGTTTTTTTTTAATTCTTCTGTAATTTCCTGGTTGACCCATTAATCTTCAGTAGGATGCTCTTTAACTCCCATGTATTGTGTTCCTTCCAAATTTTCTCCTGTGACTGAGTTCAGTTTTTTTAATTCTTTTTTTATGTTATGTTAATCACCATACATTACATCGTTAGTTTTTGATGTAGTGTTCCATGATTCATTGTTTGCGTATAACACCCAGTGCTCCATGCAGAACATGCCCTATTTAATACCCATCACCAGGCTAACCCATCCTCCCACCCCTCTCCCCTCTAGAACCAACCCTCAGTTTGTTTTTCAGAGTCCATTGTCTTTCATGGTTCATCTCCGCCTCCGATTCCTCCCCCTTCAATCTTCCCCTCCTGCTATCTTCTTTTTTTTTAAACATATAATGTATTATTTGTTTCAGAGGTACAGATCTGTGATTCAACGGTCTTGCACAATTCACAGCGCTCACCATAACACATACTCTCCCCAATGTCTATCACCCAGCCACCCCATCTCTCCCACCCCCAACCACTCCAGCAACCCTCAGTTTGTTTCCTGAGATTAAGAATTCCTCCTATCAGTGAGGTCATATGATACATATCTTTCTCTGATTGACTTATTTTGCTCAGCATAACACTCTGCAGTTCCATCCATGTCGTTGCAAATGGCAAGATTTTGCTCCTTCTGATGGCTGCATAATATTCCATTGTATATATATACCACCTATTCTTTATCCATTCATCTGTTGATGGACAACTTGGCTCTTTCCACAGTTTTGCTATTGTAGACATTGCTGCTATAAACATCGGGGTGCATGTACCCCTTTGGATCCCTACGTTTGTATCTTTGGGGTAAATACCCAGTAGTGCAATTGCTGGGTCATATGGTAGCTCTATTTTCAACTTTTTGAGGAACCTCCATACTGTTTTCGAGTGGCTGCACCAGCTTGCATTCCCACCAACAGTGTAGGAGGGTTCACCTTTCTCCACATCCCTGCCAACATCTGTCATTTCCGGACTTGTTAATTTTAGCCATTCTGACTGGTGTGAGGTGATATCTCATTGAGGTTTTGATTTGGATTTCCCTGATGCCAAGCGATGTTGAACACTTTTTCTTGTGTCTGTTGGCGATTTTGATGTCTTCTTTGGAAAAATGTCTGTTCATGTCTTCTGCCCATTTCTTGATTGGATCATTTGTTCTTTGGGTGTTGAGTTTGATAAGTTCTTTATAGATTTTGGATACTAGCCCTTTATCTGATACGTCATTTGCAAATATCTTCTCCCATTCTGTTGGTTGTCCTTTGGTTTTGTTGACTGTTTCTTTTGCTGTGCAAAAGCTTTTTATCTTGATGAGGTCCCAATAGTTCATTTTTGCCCTTGCTTCCCTTGCCTTTGGCGATGTTACTAGGAAGAAGTTGCTGCGGCTGAGGTCAAAGAGGTTGCTGCCTGTGTTCTCCTTTAGGATTTTGATGGACTCCTGTCTCACATTGAGTTCTTTCAACCATTTGGAGTCTATTTTTGTGTGTGGTGTAAGGAAATGGTCCAGTTTCATTCTTTTGCATGTGGCTGTCCAATTTTCCCAACACCATTTGTTGAAGAGACTGTCTTTTTTCCACTGGACATTCTTTCTTGCTTTGTCAAAGATTAGTTGACCATAGAGTTGAGGGTCCATTTCTGGGCTCTCTATTCTGTTCCACGGATCTATGTGTCTGTTTTTGTGCCAGTACCATACTGTCTTGATGATGACAGCTTTGTATTAGAGCTTGAAGTCTGGAATTGTGATGCCGCCAGCTTTACTTTTCTTTTTCACCATTCCTCTGGATATTCGGGGTCTTTTCCAGTTCCATACATATTTTAGGATTATTTGTTCCATTTCTTTGAAAAAAATGGATGGTATTTTGATGGGGATTGCATTGAATGTGTAGATTGCTCTAGGTAGCATTGACATCTTCACAATATTTGTTCTTCCAATCCATGAGCATGGAACGTTTTTCCATTTCTTTGTGTCTTCCTCAATTTCTTTCATGAGTATTTTATAGTTTTCTGAGTACAGATTCTTTGCCTCTTTGGTTAGATTTATTCCTAGGTATCTTATGGTTTTGGGTGCATTTGTAAATGGGATTGACTCCTTAATTTCTCTTTCTTCTCTCTTGTTGGTGGTGTATAGGAATGCCACTGATTTCTGTGCATTGATTTTATGTCCTGCCACTATACTGAATTCCTGTATGAGTTCTAGCAGTTTTGGGGTGGAGTCTTTTGGGTTTTCCACATAAAGTATCATATCATCTGCAAAAAGTGAGAGTTTGACTTCTTCTTTGCCAATTTGGATACCTTTTATTTCTTTTTGTTGTCTTATTGCTGTGGCTAGAATTTCTAGTACTATGTTGAATAGCAGTGGTTATAGTGGACATCCCTGCCGTGTTCCTGACCTTAAGGGGAAAACTCTCAGTTTCTCCCCATTGAGAATGATATTCGCTGTGCGTTTTTCATAGATGGCTTTTATGATATTGAGGTATGTACCCTCTATCCCTATACTCTGAAGAGTTTTGATCAAGAAATGATGCTGTACTTTGTCAAATGCTTTTTCTGCATCGATTGAGAGGATCATATGGTTCTTGTTCTTTCTTTCATTAATGTATTGTATCACATGGATTGATTTGCGGATGTTGAACCAAACTTGCAGCCCAGGAATAAATCCCACTTGGTCGTGGTGAATAATCCTTTTCATGTACTGTTGGATCCTATTGGCTAGTATTTTGGTGAGAATTTTTGCATCCATGTTCATCAGGGATATTGGTCTGTAATTCTCCTTTTTGATGGGGTCTTTGTCTGGTTTTGGGATCAAGGTAATGGTGGCTTCACAAAACAAGTTTGGAAGTTTTCCTTCCATTTCTATTTTTTGGAACATTTTCAGAAGGATAGGTACTAATTCTTCTTTTAAATGTTTGGCCCTGAGCTTTTGTTTGTTGGGAGATTTTCGATTACTGCTTCAATTTCCTTAGTGGTTATAGGTCTGTTCAGCTTTTCTATTTCTTCCTGGTTCAGTTTTGGTAGTTGATACAGCTCTGGGAATGCATCCATTTCTTCCAGGTTATCTAATTTGCTGGCATAGAGTTGTTCATAATATGTTCTTATAATTGTTTGTATTTCCTTGGTGTTGGTTGTGATCTCTCCTCTTTCATTCATGATTTTGTTTATTTGGGTCATTTCTCTTTTCTTTTTGATAAGTCTGGCCAGAGGTTTATCAATCTTGTGAAATCTTTCAAAGAACCAGCTCCTAGTTTCATTGATCTGTCCTACTGTTCTTTTGATTTCTATTTCATTGATTTCTGCTCTGATCTTTATTATTTCTCTTCTACTGCTGGGTCTAGGCTTTATTTGCTGTTCTTTCTCCAGCTCTTTAGGTGTAGGGTTAGGTTGTGTATTTGAGACCTTTCTTGTTTCTTGAGAAAGGCTTGTATTGCTATATACTTTCCTCTTAGGACTGTCTTTGCTGCATCCCAAAGATCTTGAACAGTTGTGTTTTCATAGTCATTTGTTTCCATGAATTTTTTAAATTCTTCTTTAATTTCCTGATTGACCCATTCATTCCCTAGTAGGATGCTCTTTAGCCTCTATGTATTTGAGCTCTTTCTGACTTTCCTCTTGTGATTGAGTTCTAGTTTCAAAGCATTGTGGTCTGAAAATAGGCAGGGAATGATCCCATCTTTTGGTACCAGTTGAGACTTGATTTGTGACCTAGGATGTGATCTATTCTGGAGAATGTTCCATGGGCACTAGAGAAGAATGGTTATTCCGTTGCTTTGGGATGGAATGTTCTGAATATATCTGTGAAGTCCCTTTGGTCCAGTGTGTCATTTAAAGTCTTTATTTCCTTGTTGATCTTTTGCTTAGCTGATCTGTCCATTTCAGTGAGGGGGGTGTTAAAGTCCCCCACTCTTATTGTACTGTTTTCAATGTGTTTCTTTGCTTTTGTTATTAATTGCCTTATATAATTGGCTGCTCCTATGTTAGGGGCATAGATATTTATAATTGTTAGATCTTCTTGTTGGATAGACCCTTTAAGTATGATATAGTGTCCTTCCTCATCTCTTATTATAGTCTTTCATTTAAAATCTAATTTGTCTGATATAAGGATTGCCACCCCAGCTTTCTTTTGGTCTCCATTAGCATGGTAAATGGTTTTCCACCCCCTCACTTTCAATCTGAGGGTGTCTTTGGGTCTAAAATGAGTCTCTTGCAGACAGCATATTGATGGGTCTTGTTTTTTTATCCAATCTGATAGCTTGTGTCTTTTGATTGGGCCATTTAGCCCACTTACATTCAGGGTAACTATTGAAAGATATGAATTTAGTGCCATTGTATTGCCTGTAAGGTGACTGTTATTGTATATTGTCTGCATTCCTTTCTGGTCTATGCTGCTTTTAGGCTCTCTCTTTGCTTAGAAGACCCCTTTCAATGTTTCTTGTAGGGCTGGTTTTGTGTTTGCAAATTCCTTTAGTTTTTGTTTGTCCTGGAAGCTTTTTATCTCTCCTTCTACTTTCAATGATAGCCTAGCTGGATATAGTATTCTTGGCTGCATATTTTTCTCATTTAGTGCTCTGAGGATATCATGCCAGTCCTTTCTGGCCTGCCAGGTCTCTGTGGATAAGGCTGTTGCCAATCCAATGTTTCTACCATTGTAGGTTACATATCTCTTCTTCTGAGCTGCTTTCAGGATTTTCTCTTTGTCTCTGAGACTCGTAAGTTTTACTATTAGATGTCGGGGTGTTGACCTATTTTTATTGATTTTGAGAGGGGTTCTCTGTGCGTCCTGGAATTTGATGCCTGTTTCCTTCCCCAAATTAAGGAAGTTCTCTGCTATACTTTGCTCCAATATACCTTCTGCCCCCCTCTCTCTTTCTCTTCTTCTGGGATCCCAATTATTCTAATGTTGTTTTGTCTTATGGTATCGCTTATCTCTCAAATTCTGCCCTCATGATCCAGTAGTTTTTTTTATCTCTCTTTTTCTCAGCTTCTTTACTTTCGATCATTTGGTCTTCTATATCACTAATTCTTTCTTCTGCCTCATTTATCTTAGCAGTTAGAGCCTCCATTTTTTATTGCACCTCATTAATAGCCTTTTTGATTTCGACTTGGTTATTGTTTAGTTCTTTTATTTCTCCAGAAAGGGTTTCTCTAATAACTTCCATGCTTTTTTCAAGCCCAGCTATTGTCTTTAAAATCATCATTCTGAACTGTAGTTCTGACATCGTACTAATGTCCATATTGATTAGGCCGCTGGCAGTCAGTACTGCCTCTTTTTCTTTTTGTTGAGGCGATTTTTTCTGTCTTGTCATTTTGCCCAGAGGAGAATAGTTGAATAATAGAACAAAATGCTAACAGGGTAACAACGTCCCCAGAAAATATACACTAAACAAATCAGAAAAGACCTGAATCCGGGGGAAAAGAATGGGAAAGAACGAAAAAAGAAAAAGAAAATAAAAGAAAAAGAAAAAGATAAAAACAAACAAAAAGAAAACAAAACAAAACAAAACAGAATATGATCAAATATGATCAGGCTGGTGCATAGATCATTGCCACACACTAGATTTTGGGTGTATTTTGGTCTGTTATAAGGAAGTGCTTCCCAAAATTTTGAAGGAAGAAAAACTTATATATGTACAAAAATAAGGGTTAATACGATGAAGGGATGTTATATGAATGTAAAGATGAACATTATAAGAGATTTTATAAAAGGATTTGATAAGAAGTTGTTTGAAAAAAGAAAGAAGAGGATTTAAAAATAAAGGGGGAGAGAATGTGATCAGGCAGGAGACTAGAACAAAGCCATGCACTAGAGATTTAGTTTATGTTTTGTTCTGTTAGAAGAAAGTGTATCTCAAAATTTTAAAGAGAGAACAACTTATATATATATATACCAAAAATAAGGGTAACTACTATGAAGGGATAGAATATGACTCTAAAAATGAAAAATAAAAAATATTTTTTAAAGAAGGGATTGATAAGATGTTGGTTGAAAAAGGGAAAAAGAAAAATTCAAAAAAAAAAAAGACAGTTAAAAAAAATTAACTTTGAAAGACTAAAGAATCATGGTAAAAAAGCCATGAATTCTATGTGCAGTATTCCCCTAGCGCTGG